ATATCAAGATAACATAAGTTTTTCCAAAAAACAAAAAAAAACCTCAGGAATGTGATTATTGACTTGATTAGGTTTAATAAAATCATATTTTGATAATATGAAATAAAAAAATATAATAATAAAAAAATTAATAATATAAAAAAATAAATAAAATAACTTAAATTCAAATAAATTAACATGTTAAATTTATGATTTGGTTATATTAAAACAATCAAATTGTGATACTAGGACAACTCAGATATAATATAGGGATAACTTATGTCCAAATAATCTAAAGATGTAATTGAAAAACAATATTCAAAAGAAAAAAAATAAAATAAAAAGGATTTAAATCAACTTGGGGTTAACTCAATAACCTTGCAATTATGAGTATAAGATTGAGATAATACTATAGATAGAAAAGAAAAAAAAGAAAAAACTTAAATATCCATTTTTAATAAATCAAATATTGAAAGATGAGATTAAAAAACAAACAATTTGAAAAAGAACCAAAAAAAAATGAAGTAACTTGTATTAAATCTAAAATCTACAACCTTTGTTATGGGTCTGACACTAATTTCATAAAAGATAAATCTTAAAAAATAATAAAAACTTGTTTGTTTTTTGTATTTTAAAAATATATTTTTTTTAAAATAAAATATTTTTATTTTATTTTTGTTTCAAATCAATATTTTATGGTATTTTCATATAATTTTGTTGTGTTAATGTCAAAAATATTTTTTTTAAATAAAAAAATATTATTTTGATGCATTTTTAAACAAAAAATATTTTTAAAAATAATAATAAAGGATGAAACTAAGAAAAAAGATAGTAAAAAAAGATCTAAAACAACACAAATAGAAATTAAAAGAATATGAACAAAATCTAACTTAAAAATAAGTCAAAATCAAATACTAATGGATGAAATTAAAAACACAATTCAATTAGAAAAAGAAAAAAAGAAAAAAAATAGAAATTAAATGAATAAAAATCAAATTTGATATCAAAATAAAATGAAATTAAATGACGAAGAATCAATATGAAAAGATAAAAAAAAAAACCCTTGATGCAAGTTATATTATTTTTCCTTACAAGAGTATATTAGTAATTACACTATGTTTTGGAAAAGAAAAAACCAAAAATACACTAATCAAAAGTTAAAGAAAATTTAACTTTTAAGGGTATTTTAGATAATAAACTATATAAATAAAAAGTAAAAATACCATTATATATCATCCAAGTTTGCAATGACAAATTAATCCCATTAAAAAAATAATTTTACTATTGAGAGTAAATTATATGAGTTTAATAATAAAGAATAAAATAATCATTTTATAGCGTGAGAGTCCATACCTTTAACAATGAAACATTATCAATGTGTTAAATAATATAGTATTACTTTATTTTCTTAAAAAAAATGAAAAATAAAGTTTGTGTTCAAATGCACTCTTTTTTTTTACAAATTAGAAAAAAAAAAGATGAAAAACATTTAAAAGATGATATCCAAATCTTCCACCAACCCATGCCATGGAAAAGGCAATTCTCCTTTTTTTTTTCCATCTAGTGAATTTGTTTGGACAAAACTAACCTTGAGTTAAAATATTTATAATTTTATCAAAATTTAGAAAGAGTTTTCATTATATAGAAATTTTATTCTACTTAAAAAAACCTATAAAACAAATACAATAACCATAACAAACAAATCTAACTAAATTTAATATATTCTTATATTTTATAATTACAAGTAACGTCAAGAATGCACGTTCATACATACACAAGCAAAATATATATAAAATAATTCAACAATATAATATTCAAGTAATCCTAAAATATATAAATATAATTCATCCATATATTTACATCTATATCATTTATTTATTGGATGATTTGAACTCATAAGTAGCATGATCAAATCTAACTTTTATTCTTGTCTGAGTGCTCTTGTTCTTTGTTATGATATCATCAAGAGTTAGTTTATTTATATAGGTTTCAAGTCCACGACAAACATTTAGCCACCTAGATAATTTCTCAAAAAAATCCTTATATAAACCAAAAGGATGCTCAATGATCTTATATTTTGCAATCTATTTTTTGTTACATGATAATTTATTCTTGTAATGCAATTTTATTTCATGATATATGCTTGCGACTATCATTGAAAGATTATTTATTACAAATATTGATATAGTACTAGCCATAATTATCAGACCCAATGAAGGAGCTAAAATTTTTGATTTTTTTTTAGCCATAATTATCAGACCCAATGAAGGAGCTGGGTCTCGAGTTATACTTGTTGACTAGGATTAACCCAAATGAACCTGGAAATTTTTTTAATTTTTTTTTTAAATTTTAATATTTCATATGAAAAAAATAAAAAATAATTATCTGAATATAGGCTATAAATATTATAAATAATAAATTTTAAAATATTATTTCAAAAGATTTTTTTATCTCACATTGAAAAAATATAATTTTTTTTTCTTGTAAACATAGAATATATACTAAAGGGCTTCAAATTTTACATTAAAAATATTTTTTTTTTGTGAACATAAAATATATATAATAAAAGACTTCAAATCACACATTGAAAAAATAAAGTATTCTTTTAGTATTTATACAGTAAACTTTAAAAAGAATTAATAATCAACAAAAATATATATAAAAAAGGAGTCTTTAGTTATAAGTAGAAACATATTTGGAAAAAAAAAACTAGGTCTTAACATGGTTTTACAAGATTTTTGCTCATTTCGGTTTTTTTTAACCCAAACCAATCAAGCTAGTGGGTCGATTTGCCATGCCGGTTTGAGTTTAATAATTATGGTACCTAACAATAAAATTTGCATCAAGTTGACAGTGATCATTTTAGACAGAAATCAAAACACATGTGTATGATCCTTTTAACTTTGTTATCTCAAATAAATCCAATTTTTTTTATATCCCCAATGCAAATACTATTTACATTTTGGTGCTTGCATGCATTGTAATTGAATAAATATTGAGTTTGATCATTGGATTTGATAATTAACTGAATGTGCAATATATCACTATTTAATAACATTAATCAATTCATTTTTAATACTAAATGTGTGACCAACTTTCAAATAAAACCCTCCTAGTATAAATATTTGACTAAGTGATCAATTATATAAAACAACAAAACTAGATCTAGAAATATTTTTAAATTCAAGAACATGAGGAATGATTTTATTTCAATATCATTTTCATTGTCATTAAATTCTTCAACTGACAGATCAATAAAACATGTAATTCATCATAATTCAATTATATTTATATTCTATTGCATGAACATGTATATATTTAACTATATCATTAGCCAATTCCAATAATATATACAAAATCTTTAATTTAACAACTTAACCTATATTAAATTCAACACATATTTAGAAATCATTTATTTGCGTGATTGAAGCAACCACAGTAAATATTATGTTTGGATACATAAAAAACACAATTTATTTTTGGTGGGGTCCATGATAATTTACGTTTTGCATGTGATTTTGGCGAAGCAGTTCCTGACTGTTTTTCACCAATCAGCATTTCAGTAAACAGTGCAATTCACTTATACTGTTCGTATTTTTTCTAGTATGTTTATTTTGTGTGTGTGTGTGTGTGTATATATATATATATATAACTTGTTTAGAATGAATTAAATTCACTTGCATTGTAATAATAAATCAATTTTATTCCTGATATTTTATCTAATTTTATTGTAAAAAATTATAAAAACTGTAGTTCTTGTTGGATGAATTTTGTACGTAATGAAATTGTAGATGATTTAATATAATAATAAAAAATATTTTATATAAAGTATTATTTATTTCATAATGTAATAACAATAATTAAATTTATAATATTTAAATTTAAAACTATCAATATTAATATATATTTTTTTAAATTATTTTATAACGTTGATTTCAAAAGCATTCTTAACCAAATACATTAGATTACTTTTTTATTCAATCTCAATTTCAACCACTGTTTTAACCAAACATTTATTTTTTCAACTTAACTTCAACTAAAAATACTTTTTATAAAACAACTTTTTTCAAAACACAACTACAACAAGTATTGCAATACCAAACACATAATTAAAATAATTAATTTATCATTAATTTAACTATATTAAATAAACTCTAATAAAATATATATTTAACTGATTTAAAATTAATTTAATAAATCCTAAATTTAGTATAAACTCTAAATTTAATCTAAATAATTATCTTATTCCAACTAAACAAATATAAATTAATAATAATATATTATATTTATAAGTACGGTTGAGTGATAGCAAAGAGGATAATTCATTTTTAACACAAAAACAACATCCAATGATATTTATAAATTAAAATGTATTTGATTTTTTATTGATTTAAGGATAAAATCTAAGTATTTAATGATTTGTTTTTGAAGAGAAGTGAGGGTGGATCTGGTTTCTGATTTGTTTAAATTTTAATTAATATGTGAAATACGATTTCTTAAATTATTATGTTGTAGAAATGTGATATATAATTATTATGTTTTAAAAATATAATATTTAATAAAAAATATGTTTTAAAAAATACGTATAATATTTCACCAATTTTTTTAAATTGATGTTGTTGCTTTAAATTTTTAAGTTTACAGTTATAAATTGAAAAAAAAAAAATTATAAGTTTGAGAAAAAAAAAAATAGAAAGAAAGGAAAAAAAATAACGGAATCGCCAAATCTCGCTTCACTCCCTGAAGATGATGAACAACAACAACATCAACAAAATCAAAAGCCACCATCACTCTCTGCTTTTGCTTACCTTCCAACTCGCCCTGCTTCTCAGTCAGTCTCTTCACTCGCTCGCCCACTTTCTTTCTTAAAAAAAAATTTGGTATAAATTAATTTTGAAGCCATTAAGTAATTAACGTTACAATGTATTTATCGAAAACAAAATTGATTGTAATTGTTTGCAGGAGTTGTTTACAAAAGTACGCTCCATTGGAGTGGACAGGGTTGTTTGACGAGGAGGAAGATGTCTGCATTCCTGACTCCAATCAATGTACAGGAAAAGTACGCTCCATTGGAGTGGACAGGGTTGTTTGACGAGGAGGAAGATGTCTGCATTCCTGACTCCAATGATGTTAGTTTTGTTTTGTCTTTGATAGCTACTTTTTTTCCCCTCTTAAAATCTTCAAATACTGTCTACAATGAACAGGTATTTCATGTATACATGGCAGGGACAGAGAGACCTGTTGTTTTTTGTTTACATGGAGGTGTTTATTCTGGTTTTTTTTTTTTTTTCCAGTAATCAATACCTTCAGCATGAGCTTCGATTTTTGCTTAAAAATGTTAGTTTAAAATGTTTGGATTATTGAATTATAGATTTCTTTTAGTTTTCAAAAGATGTTACAATTGGGTTCCTGATGAAGATAACTTGTGTAATTTGTTTGGCTAGGCTTTCATTTGCGCTCTCAGCGAGTAAAATTAAGGAGAAAGTTCGTTAGTTGCTATGGACTTGAGAGGACATGAATAGAGTTCGACAGAAAATGAGCTCGACCTTTCTGTTGAGTATTGATAATTTTCTTAGCATTCAATTTAAGTGAAAGTGATAGTTTCCAACAGGGTCATGTAAGCAATTTGCTGGGTTTTGTGCAGGCTATGTGCAATGATTTTTCTGCTGTCATGAAGGCAATGTATGGAGATTCTCCTCCAGCAACTGTGCTTGTTGGCCACAGGTTGTGCTCTTTCTGCTAGTAATTTGCTTGAGTTAAATCATATTACATAGTTATTAGGGTACTGCATAACTGGTAGTGAAGAAAATATAAAAAAGGTGCTACTGTCTCCACAATCACTAACCAACAGTCAATCTTATCTTTGTTGCCTGTCCTCAACTTCTGGAATGGAATCCATAGTGATTTTTAACTTTGAAAAATACATAGTTGAGCCATTACTCTGATAATTACTGAAGATATGCATTTCGATCTCTAGAACTCACGCTCTGCACAAAATATCGACTGAACGTCAAATCTGCTAATTATCTTCAATTTACCTCTTTTTGTATTTTTTATCCAAAAGTGCCTTCAAAACATAAAACAAAGAATGTCAAGGCATTTTACATATAAAACATGGACAAAACATTAGATAAATATGAGTGAAACTATCAAATAATATGGTTACATCAATATAGTCTTCGCATTCTTTTCCAATCCATTAATAAGAGGCAAAGGAAACACCTTGGCGCTGCTTTTCATGTTTTTCTACTAAGTATTAACTCTTTTTCACACAGCATGGGGGGATCAGTTGCTGTGCATATTGCTGCGAAAAGAGCGTTACCAAGCTTGGCTGGGCTGGTTGTTGTGGATGTCATGGAGGTTTGCTTTCTCTGTAATAGCCTTGTCATTTTTTTCTTTTTGCGATGGTCTTTTTAACTTTTATTTGAACACTGTCATAATATTCCAGGGAACAGCTATGGCTTCATTGATTCACATGCAGAAACTCTTATCAAGTAGGATGCAGCATTTTTCTAGTTTGGAAAAAGCGGTATTTGAAATTCCTTCAGACTCCCCAATCATTCCCATCTGCTCATTCCCCGCACGGCATGATTCTTTGAACATGTACCTTGAAAGATTTAGTAGTTAAAGGACTTTAGGCTATAAAGAGATGGAAGATTAAGAAAAAGCAGTTTTTTTCATCAACATTTTACTCCATAATTCTCCTCTTTTTAGATGATGAAATTTGTTATTTTGGCTTAGTAGTGGCTTATCCTTGTCTGATGCTCATGACTGTATTCTAGTTTTAACTTATTGGTATCAATGACACAAACAAAAGCTAGGGTTTTTGAGATGATACGAAGTTGATGATGGAGAAGATCAAACATATTGATTTCTATTAGGATTAAGCCTGTTAGGTTGGGATTTACTTTGCTAGTTAAAGGTTTCAACTTTCATGTTCTGACAGGCACTAGAAGAATTCGTCTTTTCCTGTTGCAATCCATGCCTTCCGAGACTTCTAGAAAATAGACTAGAAACGGAAACAAAATCTGAAGATCCTGAAAAAAACCCAGACCTTGTGCTTGAAGCGCAAAATTAGTTTTAAAGCTTGTTATAAATTGAAATATCTTGTTTACAGGCTAGAGCTAGACTAGAACCAACTGGGGACCTGCTCTTGGATTTCTCTTTAACACATAAAATATATGATCCAAATTCTTTTCCTAGAATTTTCTAAACATCAAAATACTAAAATCACACTTGGCTTTGTAATCTTCTTGTGGCCCTGCTGGTCAGTGACTTATAATTATGGTGCCTTATTCAAGTGATGAGATTTTGTGTGGGTTTGCACTTACTCTTTTGCTTGATTATAATTGGAACATTTGCTTATTCAACATTTTGGTTTTTCTTTGTGTTTTAAAGGTAATAGACCATCATATTGAAAAACTATTTTGTTTTGTTTTTACAGAGGATGGCGACTTTAAATTTTTTTTGTGCCTTTGTGCATTTTTAGCATGCTTGTTTCTTATGCTACACTAAGTTGACACTTTGAGGTTGAAAATTTCATGTGAAGCTTATGCTTATTGTGGTGCTTTGAAGTGTTAATTAACTGGAAAGGAATGCTCTGTACAGATAGAATGGAGTGTCAAGGGAGGTTCATTAAGAAACATCAATTCTGCTCGGGTATCTGTGCCTACCACATTAAAATACAATGATGCAAAGAACTGGTGAGTACTTCCACTTGTATGTAAATATAAGGACAATGTGTAATCCTTCAAGAATTTGTATAATTCTTAGATTCTTTCATATCTTGTAAACTGTATACTAGCAGCTGCTGTTTTTAACATCAAAATTGCTTGCACTCTTTTCTGAATTGACTGACCAATTCATGATTTTGTGCTGCAGTTATGTTTATAGAACCTGCTTGGAGGAAACAGAACAATAGTGGAGAGGCTGGTATGATTTAACTTGTAATTGAGATTCACGAATAAATAAATGGTGTTGTGATGTGAATTTTGTACAAAAGTTCAAACATATGTAAATGAAACCAAAGCCTTCACTGTGTACGTCTTAGGTATAGGTTTGAATGCCATGTGCTTGGATGTAATTTTTCTCATTTGATATCTTTATCCCAGAGAAATCCGTTGCTGAGTTGATGACACAATACTATCTCATAAGATTTGTGATTTATAGATGCCTGACTCCTGCACTTGCACGTGCTCAAACACACCCAATAACTGATGTTTATTATATTATTTTTATATATTTTTTCTTCCTTTCCAGATGGGGTCATAATGTAGTTCCCACATAAGCACAGCTATAAAGGATTTGGCATGATGTACATCTTCTTCAAATATAAAAATGATTGGTTAGCATGCATATCTTGCAGGTATGAAGGCCTTTCAGATAAATTTCTATCATGTCCCGTTCCCAAGCTCTTGCTTTTAGCAGGAACAGACAGGCTGGACAGGTTTAATCTAAAGCTTGCCTCAAATAATCTTTAGCAGGGTTTTAATAACTTTACTAAACATGATATTGTGGGCATAGAGAACAATGATAAGGATATTTTCTTTTTATCATTCGATTAATGTGATAAACTGTTCTTGGGCTGTCTTTCTGTTGCTTTTTGGGGGTCAAAGGAGTATGTATACTCATATTTTAAACTAACTCCATCCTTAGAAGTAATGCCTTCTGTGATGCAACTGTAATATATTTCATGATGTTTTATGTTCATGCTTGCAGTTTGAAATGAGTAATGAAATTTTGTTGATGCATGGAATGCCTATAATAAATGCGGCTCTCTACTGTCAATTGACTTTCAAATTGTGGAAGTATTCAAAAGATGGTGATATGAGTTACAGTCAGTCCTAGTGGATATTCAGTGTATTCGGGCACAGTTGGAGAGAATTAAATAACATGTTTAAATTAGAATCCTTCTTTGGCGACTTCCCTTGTGTTAACAGATTTTGACTGCTGAAGGGATCATCTGCTGGGAAAATAGTTAATCATGCCTTTAGGAACCCTGAATTCAATGGATGTGAACTGCATGATGCATGGAGTTATGACAAGGATAGGTGCTGCAATAGGAAAAGATCAGAAGTTATTGATCCTTGGTTTCTCAACCCTATAGTTGCTTGTTAAGTTTTCTTTAGCAGAGAAGGGTCTAATGAGTGACGGAAGACAGCTTTCTTTTAATTGTCAAGAACGTTAATTTCTACTTGAACAGCAGTTGCTATTTTTTGATTCATCTCATTTCCTCACTGCTTGTGAATTGACTAGAGGTAGATTAGGATTGTATGGTATTCATCCTCGTGATTCATTGCATTAAATTGTTGAGATTCTCTTTTAGTATCGATAAGCATTTGCTGTATGTCATTAAATTGTGCACCAGATCTCTTACAATCGGGCAAATGCAAGGCAAGTTCCAAATGGTAGCTGTCAGACACAGACATGCTATACAGGTCTGCATCTGCTACTTTACATTCACCTGGCATTTTATCTGCCTTCTCTTCCTTCTGCAAATATTACAAGTGGTGTATCCCAAATTGTTGCAGGAAGACACACCCGATGAATTTGCGGCGCTGGTAGTTAATTTTACATCCCGTAAACCGGATAGGTGCTCATGCGGTCGAGGTTTGCATCAATGTTCTTTCATCATCCTATGATCTAAACTTCCCAGAATAGGCATTAAACATATGAAATACATGTTTTGCAGGTACGAGGTCTCCACCGACCATCACAACCACAACAATGAATCAATGGCCTGCGATGGACAAAAGAAGTTGACGGAAATGTTTTTACCTTGAGATGGATATGCATCATGCATGGATTGACAAAAACTTCAGTAAATATGCCCAGTTTTAATTACCTCATACATTTAGAAGAGTTGGGTTCATTGTTCAGCGAAGGAGGTGATTTTTTTTCCAGCTTTTTTCCCTTCATTTTTTCCTTTCATTTTTTAATTTTATATTTTAATATTTATTGGATTTTGAATTTATCATATAATTTGTTTTCTATAAAATTATTACAATTTCAAATAAATATCTCATTTTATGTAATTAAATAAAAATTATTTTTTTAAAAAATAATTCTTAAACCTATTGGAATTATTCACATTATAAATTTGGATGAATTAAGTTGTATAGGCTAGGTTGAATTAATGCCGGATGTTTTATGTCAAAATACATGTTAATAATAGTTTTTATATTTTTTAAAAATAATTTATGATACAATCACATCAAAATAATTTTAAAATATTTAAAGTAAATAAAAAATAAAAATATTTTAAATTTTTTTAAAAATATTTTTAAAACACAGGAACAAATAAGCTCTTAATATGAAAAAATAATTTTTTTTTTTTTTTAAAGCTTGATCAAGATTTAGCAATGGTATGCTCTTACATC